GCATCTCTGGTGTGAGGGCCTGCCAAGCACTTTTGGTGTCCACCTGCCACCCAACTCTCACCAATGGCTCCAAGAAATTGTAGTATGCACAGTGGCCACACCCTGGTAAAACATCTGGGCAGATGGATAGTAACCAACAGGCTTCACTTCAAGCCCATGGGTGAGTTAGGGGGATGCCTACCCCAAGCATGTGAAGACTTCCCCTGATGGAATGGGTGAATGAGGACAATTTGTTTCAATGGCCATGAAGGTGGCTGAAGTAGGTGCTGTGGAGGCCTTGGAACTTAGATAGAAAGGATGCCAAGGTCATCAACTGCACGCCAGGCCGCCAACAGTCATCTTGACTTTTATCTTGCCACTGGACTTTGATGACTCTGGAAGAGAGAGTGGAAGAGACAACTTTGTGCAACTCTGCCTCACTTAGAGCCAACACACATGCAAGTCAAGACATCACCCCACGATGTCATTAGTCCCCTTTAAAAATGAAGGATCAGCAACAGCCCTATACTTAATTTTCTATTTACTTCATGTTTATTCTGTATATGCCCAACACACATTCTTCAATCCAGTGACACTGACTTTCTTTCTGTTACATGAAAAAGACACTCCATCTCTTAGCTCCAAGCATTTTCTCTGGTTGTATAGACTTTTATGTGTACATATTGTCACAAACACAACTGGAATGTACCTCCATGGGAACAGGGATTATTTATTTGTCTCCCCAACACCTAGCAGAGTAACTGGCATACAGTAGACATTTAATAAATACTCATTAATTGATGAATTGATTTTGATGTCCCAGAAAATGACAAGATAGCTGATTGTTAGAGAACTTCCACCCTTTTATACCAAGGAGGAGGAAGACTAGGTAACCTGTCAGTCTACAAAGAATGGTCGGGGCCATCCAAAGACAATGCATTACAACCATCTTTTGCCTAGTGGGGAGTTAATCAGACTTCCCAATGAACAGCATAGAGGGATATAAAAGATTCAAGGAACTGAGCTTCAAAGAGGACCTGTCCATGAGTTGCAGATCACAGCCCATGTGGTGAGAATCTTGGTCAAACTCCAGATTGAGGGGAACCCCATAGGGTCCCAGGAGGGATCCCAGTTCAATTCAATAGGTATCTGTCAATCACCTACTCTATGCCAGTCATTGGGGCAAGCACTGGAAATACAGTACTAAAGAAAATAGTGTGGAGGGCATGGGGGACTCTGCCTGGATAGGGCAGAAAATAATAATTTAGAAACCCAGCACTTTAGCCACAGGTGTCTCAAGGGAACAGAAACCAAATATACAACCTGACATAATAAGGGCTTGCACTTATACCATTCCACCTGGGCCATCTGTGGGCCCAGACTTGAAACTGCAGACCAGTAGGCTTGAAAATATCAACTTGCCAGAGAGGATGAGGAAGTTGAGAGTACAGAAGTAACCAGCTTACTCCTCTTCCTAGGGCTGAGAACTTCCTGGGGATGTTGGTACACAGACGATAGAGTACTTATAACATCTAGTTTGCATGGTATAAGTAAGTTTCTCCCATTCCAATCCATTCTCCATTCAACCATTAAAGTGATTTTCCTAAAGTATAGATCCGACTACATCATCTCCCTACTCAATAAACTTCCTATTGCCTCCAGGATCAAATACAGAACGCTCTGTTTGGCAGCCAAATCCCTTCAAAACCTAACCTTCTACCTTTCCAGTCTTCTTACACCTCACTCCCAACATGTACTTTTCAATCCAGTGACATTGGCTTCCTGCATGTTCCACAAACAAGACACTCCATCTCTTAGCTCTGGGCTTTTTCTCTGCCCATCTCCCATGCCTGGAATCTGCTCTCTCTTTAACTCTACTGCTGGTTATCCTGGTCTTCCCCTCCCAGATTGATTTTTTTTTAAAGTAGGTAATAGGGGCCATTCTCTGTCTCATTTCTTACCTAGCCTTAATCACTGAATGGGCAAACTGAGACCTGGGAAAGACTTTAGCTTAAAAAGGCCAAGGTCTCGCACTGCATCCAGAGCCATCTCCAGTCATCCTGATCTATATCTTGGCCCTGGACCCAGATGGCTTCAGAGGAAAAAGTGAGGCTGGTGACTTTGCACAGCCCTTCCTCACTTAAATCCAACTCACTTGCATGTCATGGCATTACCTCCCTGATGTCATGATCCTTTTTGAGAATGGACAAAAGAGACCCTAAAATCCCATTTTTTAGAGGAAGCTTCCCCCAAACCCTCTTAATTCTAGTGCCTTCCCTCTATTAATTATTTCCCATTTATCTTGTACATAGCATATTTGTATGCAATCATTTGCATGTTGTCTCCCCCATTAGATTGCGACCTCCTTGAGGGAAGGGATTGTCTTTTGCCTCTTTTTGCATCCCCAGCACTTAGCATAGTGCCTGGCACATAGTAGGTGCTTAACAATGTCTATTGATTGATTACTGTGTTATTGTATTATATGTAGATATGTATTTGACATGCTTTGCACATAACTAAATACACAATTATAATCTGATAGATATTGTCCATAGGTACCCAGTCTAATTTTCAGTGCCTGGTTAACTGGCAAAAGGAGTGTGTGTGCGTGTGCATGTGTGTGTGTGTGTGTGTGTGTGTGTGTGTGTGTGTGTGTGTGTACACACATGTATTTATGTGTGCATATATATACACATACATACATATATACATAGAAAGACAGAGAGGGGGGAGAGAGAGAGACAGAGAGAGAGAGAGAGAGAGAGAGAGAGAGAGCACAAATGTGCTATTTGGAAAAGTTTTTCCTAAAGCTAGGGGTTTGAGATTCATGCACCAATCAGAAAAGATTCATTTTCCCAGAATGCCATAAGGCAGTGATGCCGAACTCAAATAGAAAGGAATCCCTGCAATCTCATATATAGTTAGAAAACCATAAATTAGCATTATCTATGTTGTATTTTAATGATATTGTTAAACATTTCCCAATTACATTTCAGTCTTGTTCCCTTGAGAGTTTTGCAGACCTTGAGTTTGACACCTAGGCCATAAGAGATAAGGCTGAGATGTAGAGGCTTTGGAAAGAAGGAAAGCCATGTGCAGAAACAGTAGTAGGCGCTTGTGGTGAGGACACAGTCCCAGTAGTGGTGTCTGGCTCTTCATGACTCCATTTGGGGTTTTCTTGGCAAAGATACCGGAGTCATTTTGCCATTTCCTTCTCCATCTCATTTTACAAATGAGGAAACTGAGGCAAACATGATTAAGTGACTTGCCGAGGATCACACAGCTAGTAAGTGTCCGAGTCTGGATTTGAACTCAGGTCTTCCTGACTCAAAGCCCAGCACTCTATCCACTATGCCACCTAGCTACCTCTTTATGTTAGTTCAAGTGGATAAAGGGCTGCCCTTAGAGTAATGAAGGTCTAGTTTTAAGTCCTGCTTTGAAAGATACTGGCTTCAGGGGGGCTAAATGGTGCAGTAGATAAGGCACCAGCCCTAGAGTCAGGAAGACTTGAGTTCAAATCTGGCCTCAACACTTATCAGCTGTGTGACCCTGGGCAAGTCCCTTAACCCTAATTGCCTCCAAAATAAAATCAAAAAATAGAAAAATACTGGCTTTGAGACTCTGGACAAGTCAATCAGCCTCTTAGGGCTGCAGGTAACTCTGTAAGTCTATAAACTGCAGAGAAAGTGTTCTGACCTGTGTGTTAGCAGCAGAAGTTTCTTCACTGGCACCAATTAAATTGTAGGTCCAGTTCCTATCCCCTGTCTATTTATTGTTTCCCCCTCTCCTTCACAGTAGGGATTATCTGAGTTTTTTATGTATATTCCCCAATGCATATCACAATGCCCCGCATAGAGTAAACAATTAATGCATTCTGATTGGTTGACAAAAGCAATAATCAGGGAACAGTTGGTTTGGCTCACTAGCTGTCTCCCAGCTACAGGGAATAAAAAAAGCCAGAATCTTTTCTCTCCTTAACTCCCTCTCTCTAGAAAGAAGAAGAGTTGGGAAATGAATGGTCGGGACAGGCATGGATGACTTCTCTTTGATCTGGAATGGAGTAGGTGTTAGGGGCTCGGTACTCTGAGTCAGCTCTTTGCTGTCTTTCTGGCTCAGCCCCTCAATCCTGATCATTATTGTCTGTAATTACAACGACTACAGTCCCAGTCACAGGTGCCGTGGAGTGGGGGGTGGAGAAGGGCCCCTAATGAGGAGAGGTGCCTCCCTCACACTGCCCTGTGCTTCCATATGGCTTGTGGCAAGATGGAGTCCCTTCTTTCTTTTCCAGAGTTTTCCTCCAAGTTCAAATGGCAAACGTTTCTGTGACTTCTGGGTAAAAGTCTGTTTCGTTGCCATAGGTACTAAAAGAGTCTTGAGCATATAGGAGAGAAAGGGTTACATTCAGAAATGGAGAGCTGCCACCCTCCAACCGATGACTGGCTTGATGGTACCAGATGGAGGGTGAATCGCCCCAAAGGGCTGGGCTTGGAGCAGTTCACATTAAATTAAGGAACATGCCAAGGAAGTCGTGCCTATTTAGACTGACTGATCATAATTTTCAGCATAGCTGAATGACGTGAGGCACTTTGAGCTCAGGGGTGGAAGAAGGAGGAAGACTCAGGAGGTAGATATTGCTAAAAGAGTTGTCATTTAACTGTTTATGTGCCCCAGGTTAATATCCTCCAAAAATAGCCCACCATTGAAAAGGGACATAGCAAGGTGGACAGATTTACAGGACATGACCTGGAACAGAGGCTAGGCAGGAGGCTGTCTGCACACCTTTACTCTTCCATCATGGCCCCAGGAGGCAGAGAAGGCTTAGAGGCTAAGGATGAATTATTATGTGCCTTGACTCCAGTTCACAGCATGACATTCACCAAATATGACCTTTCAACCTTGGCATCCAGCTTCACCAGCTGCCAGCGGGTACACTCTGCATCAAGCCCCAGGCGTGGCAGAAGTGTTCATCCAGGGCCATTTGCCACTTGGTGGCAGATTGTGTCCATAAGGGAGGGGGAGGGCTTTGCTCTGGCTGATAACTGACATTTCCTCAGGCTTTGACTCTGCATTCCACCTAGCCGCGGCAGGAACAACCACGCCTTGCCAGTGTGCCAGGTAACCCCCAGAGAAGTCCTGTTTTACCACTAAGGAAGTCCAAAAGTGGGCCCGGGAGCACAGGATAGAATGGACTTTCCACCTAATGAGTCACCCTCAAGGGGGTGGCATGAAGGCACACCGGGATGAGCTGTGAAAGACGCAAATAAAATGGCTTTTAGGTGACCAAGACCTATAAGGCTAGGGAGAGGTAGGTGGCAATTTAGGCTCTTAATCAGCATTATTACATGGCTCATCCTCCTCTTTGGCTAGGACTTCTGGGTCTAGGAATCAGAGGTAGACGAAAAGGTTCACAGCTTTAGAACCAGAAGGAACCTCCAGAAGTCGGTGAGCCCAACCCTCTCGTTTTACAGATGAGGAGGCTCTGGGAGGGGAAGTGGATGCTCCCAGCAGGTTCTCTGAGGCTTGTGCCGGTGGGGACTCCCAGTGGCTCTCCACTGCGGAGACCAGGGCAGAGGAGGGAGGGACAGCTCTGTCCATCCGCTGTAAGCCCCACTTTTCAGGAGCCTCCTGCGCCGGGTTGCAAGGACGGGAGCGGCCAGAAGGTGGGGGCCTTGCACTGTGGTCCTGTACACTGGTCCGGTCTGGGTGGGGTCGGGCTGATCTGGCTGGGCTAAGCGGAGCACTTGCTGGTGGAACTCAGGCTGCTCAGACGTGAACCCCGGCGTAGCCTGGGACCTGAGAAGGGTCTAAGGATTTAGGGGTTGGGATGCCCGGACTAAGCCTCCCTCACCTTCCTTTCTACCTCCTCTTTCCCGTGCCTCCTTTCTTTCTCCCGTCCCTCCTCCGCCCCCCTCTCCTCTCATATTCTCCATTCTCTCCCCAGCCTCTTTCTTCCCCTTCCTCTTCTTTTCCTTTCGATCCTCTCTTCTCTCTCGCCTGGTGGTCTGGAAGTTAGAAAAGCTGAGTTTTTATCTGTGAAAAGAGGAGGGTGGGTGGACTAAATGATCTGTAAGGTTCCTTCCAGCTCTGACATCCACGTTCTGCTACACCTCCCCCAGTCTCAGAAAAGGTGTAAGTGCTTCTCTGAGCTGAAAGAGACTACCTAATTTAACCTCTTACTCTACAGAAAGGAAAATTGGGACCCAAAGAGGGGAGGTCATTCGCCAAGGTCATCTCATCGAAATTTTCAAAAACAGATTGGACATGATGCCCTCTAGCTGTGAGAGTCTGTGTGACAAGGTTCCTTCCACCTACACCAGTCTGTGAATCAGGGTGAAGCGCTCCCCTCCTTGGGCACTGTGGCCTTTCCTCTGGAGGTGACCACTTCTTCCTTCTTCCCATTTCCCCCCTGCCCATCTACCTTCTCTGGGGAGGTATGACTAAACAGTCTTATGAAATAAATCTGAGCATTTCAATAGAGTGAATGCTCAAGTCAAATGAATGTTCTCACAAAAGAAAAAACAAAATTTTAGGAAGATTTTGAGGCACAGAATCCCAGGATTAGGGAATCAGACCTCATTTGCATAACTATGCTCTGTGCTGGACACCACATTTTAGAAAAGCTGGATTTTAGGATAAGCTGGAGTTGATTCAAAGGAGGGGGTGGAATAAGCATTTATATACCACCTACTACGGGTCAGGGACTGACTGTGTGCTTATTAAATTTTATCCTCACAACAACCCTGCAAGGTAGATGCTATTATTGTCCCCATTTTACAGTTGAGGAAACTGAGGTTATGTGACTTGCCCAGGGTCACACAGCAAGTTTCTAAGGTCATGTCTGAACTTGGGTCTTTCTGATTCAAGGTCCAGTACTCTACCTACTGCTACAGGCAAACCAGGAGGGAGAGGTGACTGGATGGACACCATGCTGTACTAGAACTGGTTAAAGAAATTGGGGGTATTTGGCTAGAAGAAGAGAAGACAATGGGGATATGCCAGTGAGCTCTTCCCACAAGCTCCCCACTAGGCAGCTCTTAGCATCACCTTACCATTCTTTCCTCCCATGAGGAGTCACCTTATACATATGCAGCAGCATGCAAAGCACCCTAGGCCTAGAGGTCCAGGTTATATACATTCTATATTCCAGCCAAACTAAGGTCCCCAAACTCAACTCCATTTCTTAACTCCATGCATTCAAGCACTGTCCCCTGTGTCTAGAAACAAAGCCCTCTTCCTTTCTGTCTTCCTTATCTTCCTTTAAGGCTCAACTCAGATGTTCCTGAGAGTCTTTACTGGTACCTTTACCTGAAAGTCTTCTCTCCCTTCCCCTCAAATATTACTAGAGCACCTGGTCTGTGTCTTTTCCCCATCACACTCCCTATCTGTGTAAATGTCATATCTTGCCCCTATCTACATTTCCCCCAACCAGTCAATGTAAACTCCTTCAGGAAAGGGAGTGCTACTTTTGTTTTTGTATCCCCAACACCTAGCATGGTACCTTGAACATAGAAAGCGTCTAATAAATGTTTGTTGAATTTGATTTTTTTTCCTTTTCACTTAGCCCCAGAAGGAAAAGCAAAATGAAATGGATGCAAGTTGCAGAGGTAGATTTTGGCTCAAAGTAAGGAAAAACTTCTAACAACTGGAGAGCTATCCAAAGGTGGAATGAATTACCCAGGAAGTAGTGAGTTTCACAACACTGGAAGTTTTCCAGTACCAGCTGAACGGTGGACGACCTATGGGAGATGTTATAGATTCCTGCTCAGGAGTGGGTAAGAATAGATAACTTCTGAGGTTGCTTTGTCCTCTGAAATTCGATAGATATACAAAAATTAAAACTACTCCAAAATACAATGGGCTTCTTTTGAGGAGTTCAAGTCCCTAGTGCTCTGAGATTCTAGGATCTGATTTCAAGCACTCCATTAATTAACCATTAGGTATTTATTAAGAGCCTAAAAATCAATCAATAGGCATCTACCATGTATGAGGCACGGTGTTGAGTGCTAGGACAATGAAGACAAAAATGAAACAACTCTTACCCTTAAGGATCTTACCTTCTACTGGGGAAGACAACATGTCCACACTGTTAAGTGTAGAAGGCCCAAGATGTTGTGTACTCCCCCTCTGATTAACGTAATGTAATCAGTGTAAGAACAGGATGAAATTAAAAATGTGTAAACAGGGTGGTTTATGGCTTATGGTCTTTTAATGAAGTATGAAATTCAATTGGGTCAAGAAGGGAATAGCTGATTGTCTAACCAAACAGGCTAAGCATGCCTCTGGGGGTTTTAAATGGGTGGAGGAATTTCAGCAGAAGGACAGAGCAGCAACCATGCGACCAAATGGTAGATCAGAGCTGGAGGCAGGCGAGTCCCCAGAGAGGGGATTTACCTTTGGGTGACCAGCAGGAGACAAAGCCTCTAACCAGGCGCACAGAGAGCGGCCCGCTGAGTGCAATCCAACGCAGACAGATGAAGGACAGAGAACCGGGAGGGGTTCCGCTCAGTCTCCAGGCCACCAGTGGAATTCCACTCTTTTGATCATTTTTTTCCCCCACTTACATGGTGAGGCCCAAAAGGGCTCTCCCTTAGAACATGAACTATTATCTCTTTAGCAGCAATGGGGAGATGAAGTACCTGGCCCCAGACTAGAAAGCATTGGCAGTGCTGGAGCAACAATCAAAAAGACAGACTGAAAAGGAGACACTGAAAGGAAGTCTGAGCCATGACCAAAACGAGAGATGGAGGGGAGGCGTCGGTGCTGCAAGCATCTCAGAAGGTTCAGATCGACTGGTGGTGCTCACTTCTTCCAAGATTCTCTGTGCCTCTCTAGAAACAGACACTGTAACACACTCTGCTTGATTTCTTTATATTATAATTTTTTTGTTAAATATTTCCTAATTACATGTAAACAAAATTTAACATTCTTTTTTTAAACTTTTGAGTTCCAAATTCTCTCCCTCCCTCTTACTCCTTCCTCTCTTTCAAAAGGGCATGCAATTTGATACAATTATACATGTGAGGTCATGCAAAACATATTTCTATATCATCCATGTTGCAAAAAAAAAAAAGAGAGACAAAAAACCCAAGAAAAATAAAGTTTAAAAAAGTATGCTTCAATCTGCATTCAGGGTTCATCAGTTCTGTCTCTGGAAGTAGATAGTATTTTTCATCATGGATCATTGTCTTGATCAGAGTAGCTAAGTGTTTCACAGTTGATCTTCCTTACAATGTTGCTGTTACTGTGCACAATGCTGTCCTGGTTCTGCTCACTTCACTTTGCATGAGTTCATGTAAGTCTTCCCAGGTTTTTCTGAAACCATCTGCTTGATTTCTTTTTAACCTAAAACATTTCCTTTATCCTGATTCTTGCCTCAAACAGAAGTTAGCTAAAAAAACAAAAACACCCAAACCTCTACCTAAATGTTGGAGATTTTTCTAACTAGGAGCTCCAAGCTAATGTGTATTGATTTAATTAATACTTATTTATATATTATATATAATAATATTAATTAACATATTAATTTCTTTTCATCTTATGTAAACTCTATAAGGAAGGAATCTGAGGGCCATTATTTTGCCCTAGGCTAAAAAGTAAGCTACCTGATTAAATAGGATGTGGCTGATTAAATAGAGAGAGAGAGAGAGAACCAACACTTGTGAAAAGATGAACACTAAATGCACCCTCCTTCCCCCAGGGAGGAGGAAGGATTCAGCTCTGTCTCCATTCAGCTGGTAGGAGGGAAAAGAAAGGATTGAGTACAGGTCAGCTAGCTGTGCCCTCCACAGTGAAACCCACTTGTGTGACAGAAGTATATAAAAGAAAATACAAAAAGGAATTTAGGGAAAGAGGTAACAAGCAATTGGAGGGATCAGGAAAGGCTTCATGTAGAAGGTGGTATTTGAGCTGAGTTTTAAAGAAAATAAGGGTTTCTAAGAGGCAAAGGTAAGGTGGGAGTGTATTCATATCACAGGGTACAGAAGAGAGACAGGATATGGAGTGTCATGCGTGACAAACAGTAAGAAAGCTAGTCCAGATGTACTCCAGAGTATAAGAAGGGGAATAATATCTTTATAGGTGTTATCACTGTTGGAAAGGTAGGTAAAGGCTTTAAGAGACAAAAAGACATTTATATATGATTCTAAAGGTAATATAGGGAACCCCTGACATTTACTGAGTCGGGGAGAGTGTAGTCAGGTCTATACTTTAGGGAAATCACTTTTGCAGTTGTGTGGAGGAAAGATTAGAGTGGGGAGACTTGAGGCAGGGAGGCTAATTAGGAGGCTATTGAACTAGTCCAGCAAGAAGTGGTGAGAGAATGGGCTAGGGTAATGGGTGAGTAGATAGGATTGGACAGATACAGAAAGATTTTCAACAAGATTTGAGAACTTTTTGGATGGGAAGGGAAAGTGATGAGTTGCTAATAACACTAAGCTTGTGAATCTCATTACTGCATGGATGGTACAACAGATGTAGGGAAATTTCGAAGTGACCAATTGTGCTTAACCCATCTGTAACATTTGATACCATCGATAACCATTTCATCTTAGATACTCCTTCCTCTCGAGGTTTTTATTTCTTGGTTCTCCTTTCTGTCTGACTCTTCCTTCTCAGTCTCCTTTGCTAGATCTTCCTCTGGGTCATGCCTCTAAACACAGGTGTTCCTCAAGGGTCTTTCCTGGGTTTTTTCTCCTCCATACAATGTTGCTTGGTGATCTCATCAGCTGAATTGAATGATCATCACCAATTGTCTTTTAGACATACCTAATGGGATATTCATAGGCATCTCAAATTCAACATATTCTAAACAAAAATCACTATTTTTCCCATAGCCCACCTCCCTTCCAAACTTTCTATTAGTGGGTTCTAAAAAAAGTTGTATTGACATATTTTGTGTTTACTTTACAAACAGATCACACACACACACACACACACACACACACACACACACACACACAGAGCCACTCTGTGAATGCTCACTTGAACAAAGTAAAACAACCAAAGAAAAACTATGAATAGTGACTCATCTGAAAGTGCAACATTCCACAACTGTAGGACCCCCAACCTCGCTTTTTAAAAAATGTTTTTAATGAACAGAAATTTATTTTCTATCCCTCCTATCCTCTACCCCATTGGAAGGAAAAAGAACAAGAGAAAAACAAATTACTTATAACACATAAGTAATCAAGCAAAACAAATTCTCTCATTGGCTATATAAAAAATATATATATGTCTCATTTGTTGTCGTCGTTTTTCAGTCATGTCTGACTCTTCATGACCCCATCTGGGATTTTCTTGGCAAAGATACTGGAGTAGTTTGCTATTTCCTTCTCCAGCTCATTTTACAGATGAGGAAACTGAGGCAAACAGGGTTAAGTGACTTGCCCAGGGTCACACAGCTAGTAAGTGTCTGAGGCCAGGTTTGAACTCAGAAAGTTGGGTCTTCCTGACTTCAGGCCCAGCACTCTATCCATCTAGCTGTACATATATCTCATTCTATGACCTAAATCTATCACTTCTATCATGAGGTGGATAGAATGTTTTATTATCAATATTCTAGAATCAGAGATGATCATTATATTGATCTTAATTCTTATTACTGTTAAGGGCACCATCATCCTTCTAGTAACCCAGGCTTGCAATTTCAGTGCCATTTTCAATGCTTCCCTCACACTCATTCCACACATCCAGTCTGGTGGCAAGTTTTGTCTTCTTTGCCTTTACAACATCTCTCATAGATGTCCCCTCATTACCCTAGTAGAGGTCCAGATACCTCACACCTGATTATTTCAATAGTCTTCCGTCTTCAACAGATCTTTGAGCCTCAAGTCACTCCTCCTCACTCTAATCCATCCTTTTTTTTTTTTGCATTTTATGTAATACACATTTATTATCTATTCTTCCTATTTTCCCTTCTCAAAACTGAATTAAAACAAAATGAAAATAAAACCCTTATAAAAATATGCATAGTCTAGCAAAACAAATTCCCACATTGGCCATATCCAAAAATACACATATCATTCTTACATATTGAGTCCATTATCTCTCTCTCTCTCTCTCTCTGGAGGTGCAGTAGCATTCTTTATCATCATTTTTTTGGAATCCTGGCTGGTCATGCACTGATCAGAATTCTTAAGTCTTTATAAGTTGTTTTTCTTTATAACATTATTGTTATTATATAAATTATTCTCCTGGATCTGCTCACTTCATTCTGCATCAATTCGTATAAGTGTTCCCAGGTTTCTCTGAAACTGTCCCTTTTGTTATTTCTTACAGAATAATAACATTCCATTACATTCATAGACCATAAGTAGTTCAGCCATTCCCCAACTAATTGGCAGCCCCAAACTTTCCAGTTCTTTGCTATTACAGAGAGAGAGAGAGGGAGAGGGAGAGAGAGAGGTATTATAAACTTTTTTTGTACATTTAGGGTCCTTTTCATTTTTCTTTGATCTCTTTGGGATATAGGCTTAGTAGGGGCATATCTGGGTGAAACAGTATGCACAATTTAGTGACTTTTTGGTCACAGTTCTAAATTGCTTTCTAGAGTAATTGGACTAATCCACAGCTCTACCAGAGGATATATGCTAGATGTACCTGTTTTCTCATAGTCTTTCATCACTTGTCATGACAATACCAACATCTGTCATTTTTCTTTTTTGTTAACTTTCCCAATTTTATGGGTGTGAGGTAGAACCTTAGAGTTTTTTAAAATTTATCTTTCTCTAATTATTAGTGCTTCAGAGCATTTTTTATATGGTTGTTAATAGATTTCTTCCTTTGAAAACTGGTCTGTTTGGAGTCAGAATGGAAGGAAACAATGTAGTTGAACTCCCTATCCATAACTCCTCCAAACAGACCTAAAAATGCACCAGACAAAATCACGATGGAGAAATTCAGAAAAAGGCACACTGAATCCTTTGTCCAGCCCAGGTCAGCATAGGAAGATAGACAAAGAGATCTGCAGACGCTGGGGACAGGGTCAGGGCAAGAGCACATGGTGGGCACTCCAGTGTCCAGGGAAAAGATGTATACCAGTACAAAAGGAAGGATCCCAGACCCACACTGGGGCAGCTGTAATGGGGACAGGTGCCAACTTTGTCACCCACTATCCAGTCACAGGTCACAGATCCAGGGTAGAGTGAGAACGGGATCTGTGCCCAGTGATGGGAGGCCCCAGACAAAGGAAGCTCAGAAGCCAGCATCAATAGCCACAGACCTCAGGCTCAAAGCAGGATCTCACTCCTAGCATGTTGTCCAGCCTGCAGAGGAATCACCAGGGTGAGAAACACAGATCAAAGAGGATCCTACAGTTCTGTCACTCTGTACCAAGAGTTTTTCAGTTGGCTGATAAGACTGAGTCCAACAGTCTACTAATGCTCAGACCCAGTCCCAGGTCAGGAGTTTGTAGAGCTCAGACCAAGCAGGAAGCAATCAGATTTTGCCCTGGATCAGACCACTTGGTGAGCACTGAAAATTTGCAAGTCCCCAGGCTTTCCCTCAGATCCTGGAATAACACATTATAACACCCCACAAAAGTAGCAACAGAACCGGCTCAGACCTGGCCTCCAGAAGTGTGGCAGAGCCCAGCCCTAACATCAAGTCTGAAGTCAGGAAGCAGGCTAGAAGAATAAGGATTGCTTGCAGATTTTTGGAGTCACTCTCTTCTGCATTTATTTATTTGTTTGTTTATTTATTTATTTATGGCTAGGCAATGGGGTTAAGTGACTTGCCCAAGGTCACATAGCTAGTAAGTGTTATGTGTCTGAGGTCAGATTTGAACTCAGGTCTTCCTGACTCCAGGGCCGGTGCTCTATCCACTGTGCCAACTAGCTGGCCCATTCTTCTGCATTTATATCTTGAGTGTCAACTGCCACCTGTTATGGTGACATTAAGGTGGGCTTCTCTTCCCATTTAGTAATCACCAGTTATCTAT